CCCCCCCCCCCCCCCGCCCAAGAAGAGAAAGCACTAGACCCATCATAGTAGTGCCGGCAATTTGCCACACTGCTCTATGACCTTTTTAATTTTAAGGGCTGCGGGAAAGCCGACAGGTGCAAAGGAGCACGTGGTTCGGACAGAGACATCCCTTGGGGGAGGATCTGTTAATGGAGATTCTCTATGTCCTAGTAAGGAGGAGAAAATGGAAGATGATAAAATATGGGTAGGATCTGATGAGAAACAGACAAATGAAAGAGTTCCATTCAATTACATCATGTAATGGCAGACAAAATGCTAAAAAGTGACAAGTTTTTAAAGTATTTATATACAAATGCAAGAAGTCTAAATAATAAGATGGGTGAACTATAGTGTCTTGTATTAAATGAGGATATTGATATAATAGGCATCACAGAAACGTGGTGGAATGAGGATAATCAATGGGACACCGTAATACCAGGGTATAAAATATAGCAGAAGGACAGAACAGGTCGTGTTGGTGTGGGAGTGGCACTATATGTGAAAGAAAGCATAGAATCAAATGAAGTAAAAACCTTAAATGAACCAAACTGTACCATAGAATCTCTGGATAGTAATTCCCTGCTCAAATAATAAGAATATGGCAGTAGGGCTATATTACCGACCACCTGACCAGGATGGTGATAGTGACTGTGAAATGCTCAGTGAGATTAGAGAGGCTATAAAAACAAAAAAAATCAATAATAAGGGGGATTTCAACTATCCCTGTATTGACTGGGTACATGTCACCTCAGGACGGGATGCAGAGATAAAGTGTCTTGACACCTTAAATGACTGCTTCTTGGAGCAGCTAGTCCTGGAACCCACAAGAGGAGAGGCAATTCTTGATTTAGTCCTAAGTGGAGCACAGGATCTGTCACTATTACCAAGCAGTCCAGATATATTCACCTCTTGGACCAGATCCTGTGCTGCACTTAGGACTAAATCAAGGGAAACCCCACAGCAGCAGGGAAACCCCACAGCAGCCCAACACTGTAGCATTTAATTTCAGAAAGGGGGACTACACAAAAATGAGCAAGTTAGTTAAACAGAAATTAAAAGGTACACTGCCAAAAGTGAAATCCTTGCAAGCTTCATGGAAACTTTTTAAAGACACCATAATAGAGGCTCAACTTAAATATACACCCCAAATTAAAAAACATAGTAAGAGAATCAAAAAAGTGCCCCCGTGGCTAAACAACAAAGTAAAAGAAGCAGTGAAAGATGAAAAAGGCATCCTTTAAAAAATGGAAGTTAAAATTCTAGTGAGGAAAATAGAAAGGAGCATAAACTCTGGCAAATGAAGTGTAAAAATATTCAGATTTTCAGAAAGCCTTTGACAAGGTCCCTCACCAAAGGCTCTTAAGCCAAATAAGCTGTTTTGGTATTTTATCATGGGAAGGTCCTCTCATGGATTGGTAAGTGGTTAAAAGATAGGAAACAAAGGGTAAAAATAAATGGTCAGTTTTCAGAGTGGATAGCGGTAAATAGTGGTGTCCCCCAGGGGTCTGTACTGGGACCAGTCCTATTCAACATATTCTTAAATGTTCTGGCAAAAGGGGTAAACAAGGTGGCAAAATTTGCAGATGAGACAAAACTACTCAAAATAGTTAAGTCCCAAGGAGACTGCAAAGAGCTACAAAAGGATCTCACAAAACTGGGTGACTGAGCAACAAAATGGCAGTTGGAATACAGTGTTGATAAATGCAAAGTACTGCACATTGGAAAACATAATCCCAACTATACATATAAAATGATGGGGTCTAAATTAGCTGTTACCATTCAAGAAAGAGATCTTGGAGTCATTGTGGATAGTTCTCTGAAAACATCCATTCAATATGCAGCGGCAGTCAAAAAAGTGAACAGAATCTTGGGAATCATTAGGAAAGGGATAGATAATAAAACAGAAAATATCATATTGCCTGTATATAAATCCATGGTATGCCCATTTCTTGAATACTGCGTGCAGATGTGGTTGCCCCATCTCAAAAAAGATATATTGGAATTGGAGAAGTTTCAGAAAAGGGCAACAAAAATGATTAGGGGTATGGAACTGCTGCCATATGAGGAGAGATTAATAAGACTGGGACTTTTCAGCTTGGAAAAGAGACGACGTGGGGAGGTAGTGGGGGGGATATGATAGAGGTCTATAAAATCATGACTGGTGTGCAGAAAGTAAATAAGGAAGTATTATTTACTCCTTCTCGTAACACAAGAATGAGGGGTCAGCAAATGATATTAATAGGCAGCAAATTTAAAACGAACAAAAGGAAGTATTTTTTCACACAATGCACAGTCAACCTGTGGAACTCCTTGTCAGAGGATGTTGTGAAGGCCAAGACTATAACAGGGTTCAAAAAAGAACTAGATAGAATATCAGGGTTGGAAGGGACCGCAGGAGATCATCTAGTCCAACCCCCTGCTCAGAGCAGGGCCAATCCCAGATTTTTGCCCCAATCCCTGAATGGCCCCGTCAAGGATTGAACTCACAATCCTGGGTTTAGCAGGCCAATGCTCAAACCACTGAGCTATCATGGAGGATAGGTCTGTCAATGGCTATTAGCCAGGATGGGCAGGGATGGTGTCCCTAGCCTCTGTTTGCCAGAAGCTGGGAGTGGGCGACAAGGGATGGATCACTTGATGATTACCTGTTCTGTTCATTCCCTCTGGGGCACCTGGCACTGGCCACTGTTGGAAGACCGGATACTGGGCTAGACGGACCTTAGGTCTGACCCAGTATGGCCATTCTTATATCATAGCACACTATTACTGAAAAATTGCTTGCTTTTTCATTTTAACCATATAATTATAAAATAAATCAATTGGCATATAAATATTGTGTTTATATTTCAGTGTGCAGTATAAACAAGTCATTGTCTTTATGAAATTTTAGTTTGTACTGACTTTGCCAGTGTTTTTTATCTAACCGGTTGTAAAACTAGACAAATATATACATATGTTGATGTATTCCTAGGAAGACCTCTGTATACCCCCATAACTGTTTCAAAGATCCAAAAATTGATATTTATGTTTGAAGAAAATAGTAGTCCCAACAAATTCAAAACTTTTTAATGTATTAATGATTTATAATTAAAAGAAGCATTAAAAATTATATCAATTTTCAGTTGATAAAAGAAGAACTTAGCATCATTTAAGCTCTGCTTACATGAAACAATTTCTATAACACTTTTATATTTGTATTTATATTTTACATGCATCTGGAAGATAGATTTATATATGAAAATAACATAATACATGTCATATATGTTAAAAAATGTACCAGCTCCTGGCAGCTGTGCTAGAAACTATGGGAAAAGGGTCACAATGCACAGGTAAAGCAGCGGTGGGAAGGAGTGCTGCGTATGGAGGCACTGCACTGTTCTACATAACTAAGGCTGCTTAATGCGCACACACTCAACAGTTGCAGTTACAAACAATTCCAACAACACTTAGTTGTGTCACTTGCTTCTGAAATGGTGCATGTCTCTGCGGTAGATGAGCCTCTCGTATTGATACGTGCCACAATCAAGAAAGGATGAAGAGTAGTCATCCTTACGAACAAATCTAACGCAGTTCTTAAGGTGGTATTCAGTGCATGGGTATTACAGTAATGAGTACGCTAGAAATACATATGGCTGCTTTAATGTCATAATGTCTGACTGGTAATGAGTCTGAAAAAAAATAGTAATCCCATTTGCCAGCCAGGGATCACCAAAGATCTGGTTGCGTCACTCCTGTTCCTCTTCTCTTCCCCCCTCCCCCCCCATGTTCCCCCTCAAAGAGGGGTTGGTATAGCTGCTATGTTGGGTCTGTGCCAGCTGATGGCTTTCTGCCCCACACCAGGGTAATCCTCAATTGGAAAGATCTGGCTGCTTTACAGTCCAAAGGGGCCATATTCTGGAGTGGTGCCCTATGTCTTTTCAGCTGTGGGAACTGAAATAAGTCTCTGCAACTTGGACTCCAGTTTAATGGGCAACGCAATTTCACTGACTTAATCCATCACAGTTATAATCTTAGGCCAAAAAAGTACAGTACAAATTAGCTTCATCTAAACATTGTCCATGTTTCATTGAAATGATTGTTTTTAACATTGTTAAACTAGTATCTGTGCCATTTTTCTAGAATTCTTATTATGCTGCAAAAACAAATGACATCTTTACTCACAGACCATTTGGAGGACACCTGGAAAATCCAAGACCCTTCAGAAGACCCTTTAAGGTATTGTTTGACTCTTGCCAAGTGTATGTGTTGCATAAGGTTTCATTTCAGGCTGTGGTGTTGTGATTTAGGCATGTTGCACTAAACAGACATGTTAGTGGTGAGATTTTCAAAAATGGTCAGCATTGGCTGAACTTTGTTCCCATTGAAATAATGGGGGCTTGCCTTGACTTCAGTAGGAATGTTTGAAAATTCCACTCCTTTCCCTTCCCCTGCCCCCAAGCCCTCCTGTAACAGCTGGAGTGCTATCATATTTTGAAAGACTAAGTTACTAGAATTTGGACTCTCCCAGGTAGGTAAGAGAGCTGACTTTCTCAGGGTGTAATTTTAAATAACATTAAGGGAGAGGGCAAACAGAATGGCAAAACAGTAAGGTTGAAAGGAGAGTTGGGCAAGGAAGGAGGGAGTGGCAAGATCATGGGGCTAGTGTTGGACAATAGAAGAGGAAAAAAACCCTTAAAAATCAATTTTAGAATCAAAATTGCAGAAAAAATGGGAGATTACTAAAACATCTGGCCAATAAATAGACTTGGAAAGACATTAGGGTTTTTAATCAGTAAATGTTGGTAAACATTGATTTCACCATACACACAAAAACCAACAAAAATATTTCTATCCATAATAGACATTCACAGATAGGCAAAGTAAGAGAAATACTGCTTCAGAATTTGATTTAAGGATACTTACTTTGTATTTTTTTGACATGTGAAGTTGACAATTTTGTGTTTCAACAGTTATAAAGCTTTAACTTTTTGAATCACCATCTACTGTCATTAAATAACTATTGCCTGACCCTCTCCATAACTTCCCACAACTGTGAAAATTTAAATAGATAATTGGGGGGGAAAAAAGCTTAAACATTACTATCAGTCAAAATTTATTTTAAAAAAACAGAAATCAAATTCTGTCAAATCTGCCTATGAGGAAACACCTTATATGAATATATTCACTCCTAACTTCATTATTTTTTTGAATACTGTTCCACTAATTTTTTTTTTTTAAATTAAGCGTGGTGGAATGTTGTAGTTGTCATAACACTACATGAGAGATTCAGAGTATTTTCCACGTTTAAGAGAAAACATCATCTTTTTTAGTTGCACTTCTACTGCATTTTGTTTGCATTTTTCATGTAAAATTGCCTTAAATCTATATGATGACTCCCAAACAGTAATCTTTTTATGTTTTTATATTTTCTCATTATTCTATCGGATAAGTATTGCTTTTAGGTTTTGTTTACAGGAACTAGGGTGGCCAGACAGCAAGTGTGAAAAATCGGGACAGGGAATGGGGTTTAATAGGTGCCTATATAAGAAAAAGCCCCCAAAATTGGGGCTGTCCTTATAAAATCAGGACATCTGGTCACCCTAACAGAAACCCCAAGATGTAAGAGAGTCAGCAAAATCACCCGATTCTGGGGTACTGCATTGGCTTCCCAATGTGTCTTGACTGTAAAAGGCACCCTAGGGTCAAAGTCAATTAAATGTAAAACAAAGATTACTTGTTATCTCTTCCTTCCTGTTGTGAGTGGCATGCTGTGCGTGGGCCCAATTAGGTCCATTCATAATGGGAAAACGCTGATCAAATCTGGGTCAACCTCTTCTAGTTTTTCATTTAAAAGTGGCCTTGGTATAAGGCAATTAGGTCACTGACTCATGGTCCAGAATATCCCTTTTCTCCATGAGCCACGTGAATGGTGGAGAGATGTGACCACTGTTAATCCACTTCTTCCACAGAACACATTTCAGATAAGCCACCGAATAATGCTTGATATTTTACAAGGTTGCTGCAAGGATTTTTTTTCTTTTTTAAAACTTGTGTAAGGTAGGTAGGCATTATCCTCATTTTACAGATAGGGAAATTGAGGCAGAATTATTATGACCAAGTATATACGGGTAGTTGGCATCAAAGCCTAAATTCAAATTTCAGACTTCCTGATTCTTAACTATACTTAAAACAATGGAACCATTAGATAGAAATGACTTTCAGGCTCTCTCATCCTGGCTAGTGATGTCTTGCTCTGTAGCCTATTATTAAATGCACTTAGCCAACCAGTCCCACCAGATTAAAAGAAAAACAAACTTTCCTCAAGATAAAGTTCATAGTGTTATAAAATTAGTCTTTTTTTAGGTATTACTTTAGTTTACAGGTTAAAGTCATCTTACACTAAAATTACATTACATAGAATATTATTTTGGGATCCTTTGGTGTACACCTTACCATAATGGCACCTGTGTCACCACCTCCCGTCTATTACCAGCACAGGGGAAGTAGATGGTTCTGTTATACCAGGCTGATCCCTGCCTGCCATATCAACCCTTTGGTCTGTTGGCACTTGATGTAACTTAAAGCAGCCTGAAGTCTGGCTTAATTCATGTCAACTTGGAATTCTGTGTAGGATTGGGGGAACGTAAAGGTGAGCTTTAAGCCACTGTTGCATTCATGCACGCAACTTGTGCTGTCCACCCCTGTGCTGCAGCCAATAATATCTTCCCTTGTGCTTCAGTATAACTACGGGTAAACAGCATATGCAGCAGCACTATGTTTTGGTATGGGAAAAATGATATTGATTTATTGACTTAAAATTCCTAATCTAAAATTTCATCAACTTGTTTTTTGTATTGAATTTTCTCTTGTATTGCATATAATTTTTTTCTTATGTTGTTGAAGGTGGATTGCATTCAATATACCTGAGATGGTAGTTTGACTGCTTTCTAATGTTAATATATCTTTATTAACCAAAAGACTTAGGCAAATCTCTTTTCCCTTATGTATGAAACAAGTTCTGTTGAGTCACTAAACAGAAGTGTTTTGTTCAGAATACTTCAAAATTGGTTGTCTGTGGTGTGTGTTAACTTCTATATGAAAAGAGTAACACACTCTAGAGGAGCAGTTTTATAAAGGGATACCCAAAATTTTTAGGTTTAAAAAGCTCTTCCTTTGACTTAGTGATTCACAATGCACCCAAGGGATGAGGGCAATCAGTAAACCCACTTGGTATGTTTATCATTTAAATAAAATCATTATCCTGGAATTCTGATGATTTCATTAACTATTCATGTTCTACAGTCATGGTTGTATGGTGGGATAGCTTAGATGTTTATATTATTTGGTATATAGTCTCTGCTTTTAAAAATAAAATATTTTGAAAAGCAATGTTACTTCATTTTTGAAGTGATGGTTTCAGAAACAAACAATATTAGCAATCTTTGTAAAGTAGTTTTACATTGATTATTAAATGAAATTTAGAACCTTAGATTGTTTCATGTTTCAAACTGAAACATCTTAAGATTTTCCAAATAACTTGGAGCAGTGGAGTAATTTTGTAGCAGAATCTGTTTAAATTGCATAAATTTGTCTTTGAAGAGTGTTAGTAATTTGGAGTAAGCTACACTTTGGTTTTGTGGAATTTGATACTGAACATAGTGGTAGGTAGGATCTAAACACATTACTATCTATTTTTGGTATTTCTAATGTGTCTACCATCACAGTGCCTTGTTGCCAAATATATAATTAAGCTTCTGGTTAGGTTTATCTACAATTGACTATATTCTTCATCAGTGTTGTCTTTTTGGTTTTTTTTTCTCCACTTTTGTGTGGATCAAATGATTGCCTTAGTTCAGACGTAGAACCTATGACAGCAGCAGCTCCACTCCCATTCCTTCCTCTTACTCTGTCTATCCGTTATTTGCTTATTTCCATAGAGAGAGACATGCAGGGGCATAGCCTTGGAACCATCTTCCTAACCACTCCTGCTAGGATGAAGACCAGAAGGTGTGGAAGGAGAGGGAAGCTCAGTAGCTTTCTCCCAAGCTGGAAACAGTAGTGATGGCTGTTGGAAAGCCTTGGGGCCTCCTCTCATGGTAGGAGGCAGATGCCTCCTGGTGGAAGAACTCCCCTGCTCAATGCAAGATGCCTGTCAATTGGGGCACAGGCTGCCCATTCACATAGTTTAGGGGGAATCTTGGTTTTTACCTTGCCAAGGTTCACGGGCTTAATTTAGAATTTTAAAAACATTTCAGTTTCCCCTATTGTGACAATATATTTGCATAAAGGATGGTATTGTATTTATTGTATCCTGAGAACAGTCAGGTTTGGACTTATTCTGATCTCCTGTGAGAAGTTGAGCATTTGGCAGCTATCTGCCATGAATCCTGTGCCTCCAACTCCAATAAGCTTCACCATGGTCGCTGACGTGTTCATCTTTCCTGGTAAATGCAGCTTTCTCAGTATATCATGGATGGATACAGGGTCTTTGAAATAGAAAAAGGCTTCTAGGAATTTGTATAAATGAGCTCCTCCCTTGTGCAAGCCTTTTTTAGCTGCACATTGCAAGTTTACTGAAAAACTGGTACAAAATATATTGCGTATGTGAAGCACGTGATTTTTTCCCCCCAACTCTGTCAGATTGATACGGAATGTTACCAGAACACTCAAAAGCACTTTTCAGTGAGGGCTATTTTCATGACAAATTTCAGCTTTCTTCTTCTAGCAGTTAAAGTTGTTCATGAAAAGTTACAAGACTTTTACATGGGGAAGGTTTCTGCTCTCCCTCTTGCATTCTCCTTGTATTCAAAAGCAGATTTAACAATTTTTTATTAAAACTCCTTAAAAAAAAAAATCACCTTCTGTCAAGACCAAGTTTGAAAACTTCAAACAAAATGTTCAAAAACAATCTGAGAAACTATAATAAATGAGGTTGGAATTTTTTATATTATTCTTATACTGCACCCTTTTGTGTGGCATCTGAGTGCCTGTGAATGGAAAACATAACACAAACTTAATTATAGTGGACACTGCTGCTCCCACTACATATGTTGTCTGTCCACTCTAGTATTTATAGTGCCATTGACTTTCTATTTCTGTTTCTCTGTGGCCTTCTCCCTCAGTTCTACTTCAAGTGAGTTTACAGTAGCCCAATATAGAGGTGAAGGAAGCATAGCTCTGTGGCTAGGTGTTCTTCCTATGGTTTTAAAGACTGAAGTGATTCCAGGTAAATTTGATATTTTACATTCAACATATGAACCAGAGACAGCTCTTGGATGCAATCCTGGGTCCTTTAAAGTCAGTGGGTTGCCATTGAGTTAATCAGGCCAGGATTTTACTCTTGAAGTTTACTTATTAGAACAGCTGTTTATATAGAGAGATGCTCACACACACCCCAAAAAGGAGCTTGTCTCTCCCCTTCCACCTCATTTGTTGCCCACATTATACAACCTCTTCAGTGCTCATAATTTTGATATCAAAACCTGTTCTATGCAGATAACTTGAGCTACTTTGGACTGTTGCCCAGTATGTGCGACACTGCAGTTCTGTGATATGAACAGTGAGTACGGGTCTGGGAAGTATTTAATAGGAGGCAAAGAAGAGGCATATGCATTTATAAATGAATAATACTTCAGTACTGTAAGTTTTTGTGTGTGTATAATTGTGTAATTGTAACTTTAAAAGAGTTGAATACAATAAAATACAAAAGGCCTTTTTGACCAGAGTTCCGAAATTCGATCATTTTGTCCATTTTTTCTTTTTTTCCCCTCTACAGAACAACTTTACAGATGGTCGATTGCAACACAGTTATAAATCAGGCTTAGTACAGAAGGGTTTATATATTCAGGCTAAGTACCAGCGGCTACGTTCTGCTGGTGTAAGGGGATTTACCACTTATAAATTCAGAGAAGGAGTTTTGAGGAAAGAAAAGGTGAGTTGGATTAAAATTAATTTTCTCTAAACTTTTTTTTGATATATAAAATGTGAGTATCCACTCCTATTTCAGAATCCACTTGGAGTTGTTTGTCTAGCTTGTATGGATATTCTTTGGAGTACTAAAATGACATTCTTCCCCTCCTCCCCCTAATCCAAAAAACTTGGTAACTGAGGGCAGGTCTACGTTATGGGGGTAAGTCGACCTAAGTTACGCAACTCCAGCTACGTGAATGACGTAGCTGGAGTCTACATATCTCTTAGGTCAACTTATTGCAGTGTCTACACCACGGTGGGTCGATGGGAGAAACTCTCCTGTCGGCTTACCTTATGCTTCTCGTTCTGGTGGAGTACTGGAGTTGATGGGAGAGCGATCTTTGATCGATTTTAGCGGTCTTCATTAGACCCGCTAAATCGACCCCCCAGTGGAGTGATCACTGCAGCATCGATCCACAGTAAGTGTAGACATACCCTGAGACTTTTGGTTAGCTGTAGGTCAGCTATGGCCTCTGACATTGCCTCTCTTTTGAAATCTCAGTTTGGGCAATCCTTTCTGCAGCTCAACTAAGCTAATTTTCCATCTGTAAGTGGGAAGCTGGTCGAAGACTGTTTTGTGTGTCCTTTCAAACAATTGGTTAACTAAATTCTATTGTATGAATATGTGCTCTTTTTCAGTACATTACCTAAGGATCCAAGCCAAATATTCACCTTATAAACCATCTAATTCATACATGTTGGAGTGCTATATTTACAAGCAGCGTACAGAACAATGCATGTTCACGTTTACATCCTTAGTTGCACTGAGATCTATTACAGGCAATCCTTGTGCATAAAAGGCAGACTGAACCCCCCCCTCAATGCTAGAAACTGGGACTGGATGATGGGGTGAATCACTCAAGAAATTGCCCTGTTCTGTTCACTACCTCCGATGCATCTGGCACCAGCCACTGTTGGAAGACAGGGTACTGGGCTAGATGGACCATTGGTCTGACCCAGTATGGCCATTCTTATGTTCTTAAATTCGGTATCTAAAATATTTTCCTGTTTGTATATAAGCTTGCTTAATTGTGCAACTTCTGTTTTTAAAATACTCAAATGAGTGGTAGCACTCTGCAAAGTCGTGCTACAGCAGTAGTAATTCATGAAGAATTTTTGGGGTACCCTGAACTGGTAGGATCTCCCATCAGTATTAGTGTAACATTGACAGGGCACAGTTTAACACAGTTAGGAGTATCCATGTTGTAATAACTTCGTAGGGTGCACAGGACAACACTGTTATAGCACCTGATGGAGTATCATGTTACAGTTTATAGAATCATGTCAGGAGTCATGAATAGTGTAAGGCTCAGTAACAAATAGGGTACCTCAATATTAGTATAGCATCATAAACCCCCTATTTGAATTGTCTCAGCATAATCTAAAATGTATCTTCCTTTCTTGTTTTATAACCATGGGGTCTAATCCATATTACAAATTGTTAAACATGCCGGACAGATGTTTTTGGCATGGTTAGACTAGTGATGTAGATAAAGTCTGAGAACACTGCAAAGGCCGTATACTACTACTCTTGAGGGAACAGGGCGTGCTTCTCACATCACTAAACAATGACAGTCCTGACCATTCCTTTCTAAGACCTCTGATAAATACCCATGCTTGCTAGATGGAAAAAGAAAATGACTGAAAGATCAATTTTCAGAATACAGAATCATTCGGAATTATAAACTTGTATTATAATACAAATGTACAATTTCTTCACTATAATCAGCAAACAGATGTCACTGCCACGTAAATTTCCTATTGCTATTTTATAATTCGATGCTAGAAATTCTTGTTTAAAATTCATTAAAATAATCTTAAAATCTGGCTGCCAAAGATTACAGCATGAATTGTTGATCAGTATAATTAGGCTTTTTTAAATATTAATTTTATAACAAATGAAGAAATCTAATACCTCCCAGTTACAGTAAAATAAATCCTGTATTAATATGTATAATGTGGCCTTTTTTCCTGTATGCAACTAGCAGTTTAGAAAGCCTCATCATGGCAACGTGTTCTTACGTTTCAGTAATTCATGTATTTCTACCCACATAGTAAACTTGTTAAATAGTTGATATTTGTTAAAATGGGTTACAATTGGTATGATTTATATGGATTTTTTTTAAAAGTGCTAATCTATCGTGTTTCTTGCTGAAAGTTGATTTTTTTAAAAAGAATTGAATGTCCCCACTTAAATTATACTTTGATGTTCAAAGTAAACAATTTTAAGTTTTTTAATCTAAACTATTTTTCCAAAAGCTTCTACCTGAAACAAATTCTCAGTCACATTTTATAATAAATGACTTTAATAAACAAACAGTTTGTTTTCAAGTCTAGCAAGTCAAGAAGTTACTTAAAAGATAAGCATATTAGAGATTGTTATAAACATGTATGAACCCTTTATAAACTATAATTGTGCTATTCCGTGTCAGCCAAAACTCATCTTAAATATTAATCTACACATTCAAAACTATAAAATGACTGTTTATTCACCATATTAGTCAAAGTATTTTCAGTACATAGTGTGTTAACAAACTTTGATTTGCTAGAATAGGTACTTTGCAGGTTTTAAGAGTGCTCCTTTCTAATTAGTGTATTAAAACTGCTGCTTTTGCATGACCCATGTGCCTTCTAAGGGGTAAACTGCAAACTCCCTGCCTGCACTGGTGTGCAGTTATTCACACAAGTAGTCCAACTGATATTAATGGTGCTGCTTGAGTAACTTCTCATCAATATGATGAAGGGGTTCACAACACAGTTGCCAACTTTCACATGGTAAATAAGCATCCCGACTTTCACAGTAAGACAAAAATCAAGCTAATCCCATTTCAAAACAAGGCCAAAACAAGCCAATCCCTAAGAACCCCAGCACTCTATGTGACTAGATCCCCCCGGCGTGCAGTCTGGGACTGTGGTGGGCCCGCTGTGCACCCCTCCCCCCCCCTTGCCCCTGCTTGCCGGGAGCCAATAAAAAAAAAGAAGCTACAAGCCAAAAACTAGCCAACAGTCAACTCTCACAAGCCAATTAAGCCAAAAACAAGCCCAATTTCTGTTTGTTTGTTTTCTCGTGGGTTTGGCATGTCTGGTTCACAACCTAGCTATGAGTGAATAAAAGAACAGATTTAAGTGTTTGTACTCTAATGTACTAGTATTTTTTCTGGTCCCAAAGTTTGACCGTTTAGTATATATTTACGTTATTTGGCCAGAATTTTCAAACTTGGTAAGCACTTAAAGGTAAATAAATAAGTTCCCTGCTTTTCAGAGATGCGGAGCTTCTGCTGACTTTGGAAAAGTTGGCATACATTGTATGATTTACTTTAGCCTTGCAAAATTGACATGAAAATGTACCAGTCCAGGCACAATTCATACTCACCTACTCTTTGCTATGATACTAAATGACTAAAAAACCCTACAGTATTACCTGTTTAAAATATTTTGTCCTTGGCAAGTAAAATTTTGCAAAGCTGATTACTTATTCTTTATAGCAGCGTGGCTGCTTTAGTAAGAAGTCTTGTGCGTTATTGCATACCATATAGTGAAAATTAAAATAATAAAAATATGAGCCAATAGAGGTTTTTTCCACTGTTGTGACCTAGAAGTAACAATTTTTTCCTCTTAATAGGAACAGTCAGGCATTGCCACAGAAACCTGAACTGTGATAAGTGGAGACATACAATAACACGGCAAGGGAGCATCGGTTTGTTTTTTGACAACTTTGTCAGGAATTAAAATGGGAGAAATGAACTAACACTGTAACTGTCTCGATAAAATAACTATTTTTCAGTAGTGGCATGCTGCAGAACTTTTTTACAGTTTTAATAATTGCTTTTAAATTACAGTATTCAATTGAAAAGTTTAGTATGGTACCTTTGGTTCTTTTTGCAAACAAGTCCCAAAAAAGAAAAATTGAAGGGAGTCTTATTTATTGAATACTTTTTCTCTAAGCATGATTTTATGAATAGAACTTGAGTTGTTATAACCAGAGGTTTATATGTTGAAAAGTTTATTGCTTACATAATAAAAAAAAAAGGGGGGAAAAAAGTGCCTGAATTGTTTAGTGATAGCATATTAGCTCAGGACTTTCCAAACAATGACTTCTTAGGTTGTGCAATAGAGTTTACAGCTCTTTTGAGTCATTTCCCTAGAACAATCTTTTGTATTTATTTTTGCTTTATATTTAGTTGGATTTTTGACTTAAATATATATATAAATTTGTAAATAAATTGTTAGAAAAGTTGTAACAATTTCCAACATTTGCTAAAAATGTGTAATAATGGGTAGGTATGTCATCTATTACATAGCAGTATCTTATAACTGCACTGAGATGCTTGGGTTAGTTAGAGGACTGGTTGACCTGTATGCAGAAATATTCTGGCTCATCACTTTTTTCCATATATATCATTTCTTGATTAAGCAACACATTGTCTTACCTTCTGCTACAAGTGACTGACTTGATTCTAAAAGTGGGCTTAAAGATATGTAAAAAACTAGATAAGAGGAGCATATTCTCTAACAAAGCTGTTTATAACTGAAACTATTTAAGGCAAAAAGCTTGTAATTTTTTTATTAAAATCCCAATCATTCTCCATAGTTTACCACTCCTCAATATCATTATGCTTTATGCAAAAATCAAGCAGGCTGATGTACATAATATAATGCTCAGGCCTAAAGCAATACTGTATTGTGTTCATTTCCCATTTATAGTTTGAGCCTTAATGTAGATATGATGGGGTTGTTTGTGTTAAAGATTTGTTTCAGACTTCTTAATACAAGTACACTAAAGGTGTATATAACAAGTAACTTTTCCAGGGAAAACTTTCTAATTAATTTTAAGAAGAAAGTTATTGTCATCCAATCTTGTGCATTTTAGTAATCTCCAACGTTATAGTAGCCATAAAAGTACACATTAGAATCTCATTTATGGAATGTATTCAGAAAACTGGCACATTCAATAGGCATGTGAAAATACAAAGGAAAACACTCAATTTTTGGGAAGATCAAGCTATAAACAATATATACTGCATGATTTTTCCAGAGTACCTTTAATAATAGGAGTATTTGACTTATTGAAACTCCTAAGCCGTGGTTCAAGGGACTATAAAATTTTAATACACTGAAATCTGCCTAAAAACTTTGACATACGCTTTGGTACACAGTTTAGTCCTCATGTAGGATAATGTGCAGTACTCATTAGTATAACTGTGATTCAACAACAGACAGACATGTCGACTTCTGTGAATGTTTCCAAAAGCTAAGTACAGGACTTAGGTGGTAATGTACATACACTGCTTCGTTGTTCAAAAATTAAACTAGTTTTTTCAGGAACTTACGGTGTGCATAAGCCAAACAGAAAGTTGTGTTAGAAGAAAGGTTTTCTTTTTCAAACCAATACAGCTAACAATTTACAGGTAGCAGTAAATATTTTAAATATTAGACTGCATAAAGTGACCCTGTCCAAATCTAGGCCCAATTTATGCTCAAACTGTCCAACAGGCATGCTGCTTCTTAATGTGGAAAAATACCTTTAAACAAATGTACACACAATAGAATGTAGACTGTTGAAGCTACATTGCTTTATGGGGCAATACAGTGTTGTACTATTTCTGAAACATTTTCATTGTTTTCACAAAAGACCTGCAGAAGAATTACATTTTGAGCCAAGTAGGAAAAAATGGTTACATGAGACAACTCCTCCATATCTGATAAGGGAATTTTATACCATTGTGTGGGAGTATACAATATTGGTGTAGTCAGATATCAAAGTTAATACATTTTATGCAAAAATTCCAACATTAGAAGTATGAATGACTTCCCCAACTGACTAGTATGTTTTGCTGATTCTACCTATGACACTGGGTAGTTTTAATTTCTTCTGTACTTCAGTTATATCTTGTTCTGTGCACGGTTTTAAAAGACTGATGACCATTGATGGTAACACATTGCAAATGGCACATATTTTAGACTGTAGCCATTGTAATTTTATAAACTTTTCTAACGGGGGGGGGGGGGGGTCAAACACTACTCATTCAGTCATTTGTACTTTAACATGCTTTTCTTAAGAGCTCACCACTTGAACAAATTATTTTTTACTAATAATTTAGCAATGCTAATTCAAGATTCCTCAACTGCATTAATTTAATAAATTGGGTGTATAGATATTTTAGCTTACAGGAATTTACTTGAATTCTAGGTCTTTTTAAAACAGCCTGAGTTACTACTACATGCTGTTATCCAGTGTGATAGCTACATTGAAGAGCATCTGCTGTCCTGCTAATTGGGGGAATGTTGCAGAGATGACTCCCTTCACATTGTGCAAAGACTTCATTACATATTGTGTGATAGCGTATCTTGATACACAAATGTACACACACACAATTGGCTCACTTAGCACTGCACACTTTACTGATTTCTGTGTTAGACGAATACTATACAGTGATGTACCTGTGAGAATAATAGACTGAAATACTAAAAGGCAGCCCAGAAATAGAGGAAGGTGGAAGGAGGAAGTTAGTGAGAGTTATAAGAAAAATGAATCATAAAATTATTATGTGCCTTTCTGTAATGTACTGCATTAAGGAAAATAACCTCTTGCTGTACAAAAACAAAATGTCATTTTCAAAATCAGTTTGATGGAAATGTGGGCAGGAGACATTTGTGGATTACAATAGCCACTTTGTTTCACTATGCAAGTAATTCTCAGCCTCCATATTGTACCTTAACTAAAAGGAGGCATAGGTATGTCCTTTTATTGGCAAAGCCAATTGACACTACTATTGTGAAGTGTTAGCTGTTGAATATGTAATTATGTTTGACAGCCATTCTTTTTAGTTTTTTTTAAATTTGTGTAGATCTTTGTTAAATTTCTTTCAATCATCTTGAAATGACTGTACTAGAATGATGCTTGTCAGATTCCCAATATCATTTTATAAATTGAAATGTTTAAATTATTCTTTACCGCTATCCAAAAATGCAATGGTTTAATACGATCAAAGTTCCATTTTTAAGTGTGTAATTGCTTTGACATATACATCTGACATTGCATGGCTAGAACCCTAATTTAATCTTTCGGAATCTTTTTGCTTTGATGGTCAGACTCCCAAAGTTAAGAAAATTGTGGGAGTTACTGGAAAACTAGAGAGCTAACACACTAGTAGAGCTCAGCCTTACCCTCTTCGGTTTGCTTAATTTTTAACAACTTTTTCAAAATTCAACAATTTACCTTATGTAAAGGACTTGGTTACAGCCAGGTTTTGAGACAAGAAGACTACCTCAATGCAAATGACTGATTTATTTGGGGATTCACGTGAAGGCCTAGTCTGGACACTAACTGACTATACCTAGGTGCCATCCTCTCTTCCACGGCATCTGGATGAAACAGACATTCAGCTTCCTGTGTCTGAGCTTAGAATTGCACACATAATCAAAAGGTTGAAGGTCTATGAAACTTGATAGAAAAGGAAGGCTTTTCAAAACTGGCTTTTCAGTCCATTGAAAAATGCATCTCCATCTTGACTCAGACATGATGGACAGAGTGAGAGGGGCTTCAGTGAAGTGATTAAGATACTGGTGGTAAGTGATAAGGAGGACTTGAAAAATACACTTGGCTTTTCAGTATTCACCTAAGAGGACGGACAGAGCATACAATCGTTACTAAACTTTGCTTTACCTGCTGGAAGAATCTGCTTTCCCAAGGCCTCTGTTTAAACTGCTATTCATGCCACCCTTGCCAAGTTGCCTATATTTCTTGGTTAAAGGGAAAATCTTAAAAGTTTTACACCTCCTAGTGCAGCAAAAATCTGAAAAAACTTAGTGCCTAGATATATGCACAGATCTCTTGCCTATGACATGACTTTATTCCACTGGTGCAGGTTAGGAAGATACTTGGTGCTTCAGCATCCCTGCAAAGAAAAGTACCATAAATATAATTTAAAAATAGCAACTGCAAGAACTATGAATGCTTACCTACAACCCTCTAACTCTTCATTAGACTTCCAGGAGTCAGTTAAATGTTGACCACTGTCCTATCTCAGTCTTGGCTAAGAGAAAATTTCAGTGATAAGGAGTTGACATAACTACTCTTATAACAAAGTCCTTAGCCTGTTTCTTGAGTAAATACTTAGGCATGTGATTTAGCACAGCCTTGTGCCTCCCTACTTTCTTCATATACTTTCCCCCACACACACTATACTAGTTGTTGCTCTGAATCTTGTCTGAGTCATTTAAATCTCATAGTCTTGAAATGTTGGTGTAATATTCTGTAAATAATTTAGTTGCTAATCTTATTTTGTGACTGGTTTCTTTTTCTTGTGACTGTTTTTATTCTAGTTAATGGGGTTGGCGAAGGGCCCTCCCAGTGAGTTGCTGATTAAGTAAACAGTCCTTGGAACAACAAAAGCTTCTTTCCTTTGTTTAGATATTATCAAGTTTTCCATTCAGCAGGGATGTGGCTAGCTGTGCATTGTTATGAAATACATTTAAAGTAGAACCCATCTGTACTGCAGTTCCTCTCCATTAAACCTTTTACAATGTGTTTTTTTAAGTTTAACATGATTGTTTCTGCTGGTGTGGATGGGGAATAGTATTTTTTTTTTTTTTAAATCTTCACTATTAAGAGTAAAACTGTCTAAAGTGTGACTTAGTCTCCCGATTCACTATAATTACCCTATGTTTAATATTTTCCTGATCAACAACATATATATTGACATTCAAGTATGCTTATGTTTGACTATGTACAGATACAATGTTAATATAGAGAGATTGTTCCTACAAACTCTAAATAGATGTTTTAACAAATTTAATTTTTTAGAGTTGCAAATTGTTTTAATGAGTTGTTTTAGCAGCAGGAATTGATATCATCTGTAGTTATTGAAGTAGTGTCCAGTTTTCCTTAGAAAAAATTCTGCTAGATTCTTTCTGCAAAAATGTAGTCCATAAAAATATTTGTGTACTAGATTGCTTTTTTCCCGTCAAGGCTTCATCCATTGCTCTTTTGTGAATGTAAAAGCTCTAATCTAGTTATAATTTTGGGTATGTTTCCTTTCTGGCTAATAGAATCAATACTACTACACCCCCTATTTCATATTTCTTGTCTTTATAGTGCCCATAAATGTTCTTGAATTCTTAGAATGATAATGTTTGGATATTATGATGATGGATACAGTAGAAAACTCTAGGATAGGTTCTGAATATATCACTTATTCCATTCAAAAGATGTAGTTCTATATCCTTTTTGTTGCAAATCCTTATTTGTACACCACATATGGGGAGGGCATGCATTTGCCGTGTGTGTGTGTGTACATTTCTGTTGAATGTTTAAAACTGCTGTAACAAACTCAAGCCCATTTATGCTAGTTTACACAAGTCACTTTACAGTTTTTAAAACCTCGATTTTTAACAAAATGGAAAGTAGTGTAATAAGTTACCTTAGAATCTAGGGATAGGGCTGAAGGATAGAATATTTTCAATTGCAGTCACAAAGTCACTAACTTTCTATATTACTTTTGTCCTCTATAGCATCTTTAGGCTTAACAGAGTCAGATCTAATATTTCTGATCATATCTAAGTTCAGATTTGCAGCATTCCAATTTTTAAAATGTAAGAGATCATCTTGAGAAAAGTGAGTGCTCTGCACTCCAGTAGTCTGACAAGGGTGTGTGTGTGTGTGTGTGTGTGTGTGTGTGTGTGTGTTTTGTGACACTATCCTTTACATAACACTAAAATGTAAAAAAGTAACACTGCCCAGATTTTAGGTCCTGAAAGGCCCTTAAGAGGCATGTCTATTCTCTCTCTTGAAACTCAGAAGTCAAAAATTTAATGTTTGCCTTTTTCTAACCAATTGCCAAGAAAGTTCATTCTTTCCCTAAAATTGCAAAGATCCAAATTAATATTTGTGAATCAGTCCTCTATTTATGATCACCATTAGACTCTAATTATCATCTTTGAAGGGATGGAACAGTGAAGCAAAGCTCGGGGTCTGGAGTAGACCTTTTTAATGATGTGTTTAGTATAATAGAGGCAAATAGATCGCTTCCATTCCTCAGGCCCAATTTTAGATCTGAAAGTTGTCTGGGATTTTCAAAAATGCCTAAGTGACTGAAGAGCACAAGTCACCCTAAAAATCAACAACAGTTATGTGCTTTTGAAAATTGCATCCTAAATATGGCTGAATTTTTGTTTCCTGAGAAATACATCAGTCAAAAAATCATTTTCATCTAAAATATATAATCACATTCCATACATCAGGGAAATTTTGTGCATTTTAACAAATCCTTACATTTTTTCTAAGCAAACACTGTAGCTGTGAAGATTAATTTTCTTTTCCAAATGCTTTTTCTTTTCTAAACATATCCTTATCTCTAATTTATTATTCAGTAATATATTTATTAACTGTATATCATTCCTTTGGCAAAGTAAAGTGCATAGAAAGCTATTTGGGGATATTATGATACCATCTTGAGGCCTTAACCATATCGGGTCCTTCTTGTAATAGGCACTGCATGAACATACAACTAATGATCCTTCCCTGCCACAAAGAGCTTACATTATAGAAAAATTAGCTTTTTTCACTTTCTAGAGTGGGAGTGTATTATCTCCATGCTTTAATCCTTGGGAAACTGGCTAATTCAAATACAGTAATTATTTTAGAGTGATTTCCTTTGAGTTGGACAGAAGTTGCTAGTGTGCTGTGGCAGAAGGCAAGAGGTTTTCTGATTCTGAGAGCCTAGTTGGGAATTTTACATAGGAGTAAGCCAGTTTGTGAAAACTGGAAGACACTGTGGCATCTATCTCCCTGCCAGCCCTGATCCATCCCTGTAGAAACTGCTACAGAAATGCTCCTCTTTCTAAGGCTATGTCTACACTACAGCTGGGATCGATGCACTGATATCGATCCACCAGCGGTCGATTTAGCGGGTCTAGTGAAGACCCGCCAAATTGACAGCAGATTGCTCTCCAGTCGACCCCTGTACTCTACCCCCGACGAGAAGAGTAAGGTAAGTCGATGGGAGAGTTTCTCCTGTCGACCCCCCCTCCCCCCCCGCAGTGTAGTAACTTGACCTAAGGTACGTCGACTCCAGCTATGTGAATAACATAGCTGGAGTTGCGTAGCATAGGTCGACTTACGAGGTAGTGTAGACATAGCCTAATAAATCAGGTATACCAATTACTCCAGTACACCTTAATCTCCTTAGAACCACAACCAGAGCAATTAACATTCTACAATGGAATCATCCTCATTCTTATCAAAACTAGTTGCATCAATTCTAAATATAGGTTGGCACATTATTTACTTAAATGGAGGCAGATGGGTTGTATCAGAATAGACAATTGCTGAAATTGTAGTGCTGGAAAGGTATTTCCACACTTTCTGGTAATCCCACAGATATAAAAAATATAGGAAAGCCATTATAAAAGGGGTGTTTGGTTATTTTAAAAAGACCTTAAACCTCAATTCATATTGTGGAAATGTGATGAATTTAGTACATGAGACCGATGTAAACTGGACCTTGTGCAGATTTTGTATGATTGCATTTGTAAGTAAAGAGCCAGGCTGTGATGTGGTAGAGAATCGTCTACTCCCTGACTATAGAAGAATGGCTACAAGAAATTTTCCAATGCCATTGCCTGGGGTGAAAAGTGAAACAATAGAATATGTTTCAGTTTGCACTTCTACTCTGCTTTTGATGGAACTACGTTAATGGACAAGTTGGCTTGATTCTTCTTTTCAGTGAAAGCTGACTGAACGAGATACTCTCTTCCTATCTTGTTCCTCTTACATTTCTATTCTGTCCCTATTGAGTGTTGGATTTGTTTTACTATTTTCCTTACAGATATGTCTAATAAAAGAAATCATTTAACATTATAAGCCATTCTGTGCACCGTTTTCTTTTTCTGGACATGTAATATGTTTTTTTCAAAAAGTAAAATTCCAATACTTTAAACTAGAAAAGAAATACAGTTAAGTCTAAGCTGGTTCAGTTTAAACTGCTTGAGCATATGCAATCACTCTCCTACAGACAGGAATCACTCTCCTACAAACATTGCTTTATAGCTGAACAAAAGCTAGTTCTAATGGACATACTGTATTACTAAAAAATTAAATCTAGGTATTTATAAAACACGTGTGCGTGACATCGACAGCTGAAATCATGCCCCTGGCCCTGTAGAGTTTACGTTCTGAGATCATCTAATTTTCTACAATAAAACACCTTATTCAAGTCCTGATTTCAAAAATAGAGATTCTGATGGCCAAATAAACAAATTGCATCAAACTTATAGGCAATTCTGCCTCCACTGAGGAGTTTTTATAATTTCTGCTTTTTCGGTACCTGAGAGCTATTTTTCAAACAGGAAAGAATATGCTCCACATGTTAAATCCATATCATTTTGGCTGCTAGCATTTTTCCATCTTCACAGCTAAATTAATGCTACGGAGAGTTAAAGAAATAGTCTACAGCAGCCTTGGGCAGTTAAAGCTGCTCAGTAGAGCAAATCTCTCTTTAGATTACATTTCCTACACCTTATCTTTTAAAGTTGATTATGTAGTTCTTAGTTGTTTTCCCTCTTAGTGGGAGTCTACTTCAGTTGATATGTATAGCTCTTCCAAAGACCCTTGAACTTCTACATACACTCCAATCCCAGAAAAACACCAGTTAACAAATAGGTAGGGAAGTTGAGATAGGCCACTTGGCCTCTTTCTGTCCAAACATGTTACTGTTCTTGAAATAGCATAATAAATCATTTTGATATTGTTTCATTGTGTCAATGTCACAAGTGTTCATTGCCTTCAAATGTAGACTTCAAATCCTTATACATTGTTCCTACTTTCAACTAATCAATCACTCTACATGAAAGTTTTTTTTAAATTTAAATCTCTAATTTCTGGTATCACCTACCTTCCTCTACTCTGTCAGTTACAGCAGCTTTGATGCCTTGTCTTCTCATTAATGTCTGTCTCTTTTTTTTCCATAGCAACAAGATGTGTGAGGTAGTATCTTTTATTGGACTAACTTCTATTGGTGAGAGAGACCAGCTTTTGAGCTCTACAGAGCTCAAGTCTTTTTTTTTTTTTTTCCTTCATGCCACTTCACTCCAGCTGGAATAGCTTTACTGAGGTGGGCTATACAGCCATTCTCATTTAAATCTGTATGGAAGACCTGTTTCTACCTGGTCACCAAGAATAGAGTGCACAGGACCCCCTAACAACCCCTGAACCATACAGGGCTACAAACTAATAGAACCTCCCCTAAGAGCCTTTGAAAATACTCACCTAGAGCAACAACTCTAGCGATGATATAGCAGGCCTCAGCGAGCCACCTGTAGGGCTGCGTTGGCCATGAAATGTAGAACTGGTAAGTGGGTTTCATTACAAACAAAAGTCAGACCAGGCTTCTCAAAAGATGTGCTGGAGCTGGGCTGCTCCAGCTGCCCCTGTTGCTCCATCACGTTGTATGGGTGGACTGAAGATTTCAGCTGAATATAGAGCTTTGAAGTCGGGGGAGATGTTTGAACTTTCGGTGTCAGAACTTGTTCAGCGGAGTGGAACCTCCGCACCCCGCCTGTTTTCGCTGCCTGACGTTAAAACCCCCCAAAACTCAGTCAATGGCTATAAGGCCAGGGCATGGTCATCCCTGTGGGGGTGTTTTGTTTAGCAACGGACTAGATCTGCCATTGTTCTCCTCCCCTGTTTCACAGCCGAAAGCTGCCTCCCCCTCTCCCCTCCAAATGTCCCTAGGGGGAGGAGGAGCATCCCTAGGCGGACCCCGGGAGCTGCGTTTTCCCCACGCCTGCGTCTCAGTAGGGTCACCAGCCCCCTTCTCTCCTTCCTGCGCCGCTGCTGCGGGCAGCGCGGGGCCGAGGCGGTGCAGCCGGGCTGTGGCGCGTTCTCGCGACACTTCCTGCCGAGCGGAGCCGCTGATTGCGGGGGCAGCGCCCAGCGTGGCGGCGCCTGGGGCGGGGGAGACCCAGCTCCGGCTTCACACTTGCTCTGCTGCACACGCGGAGCCCAAAACGGGGAGTCGCCGCCCATAAGCAACCGCCCGCCGAGCCTGAGCCTGCCTGACCCCAGCGCAGGCAGCAGCGGGGACCCAGGTTCTTTGCGGAAACTGCGTCTCTCCCCCCTCCCCCCCGTCCTATTTCTGCGGTTTGGATGCCGATGAGAGTGGAGGAGCCGCTAGCGAGAAGCAGCACCACGCAGCCCGGCTGCAGCGGGCGCTGAGAGGGCGGGCGACTGCCTCAGTCAGCAGCCTCCGCTCCGCTCGGCTACCACCCCCGACCAGTGGCTTTAACTCGCTCCCGTCCCCGCGGCTTGTCCCGCCGTCTCAAACTTTCAGCCTGTCCCCGCTGCCGGGCAGAGCCCGGCTCCACATCCATGGGTGAGTGTGAGCTCGGAGTGCTGCGAGGGGCGCTCAGGCTGCGTTTCCTTCTCGCAGGACGAGCCGGGGGCTGGGTGGGTGGTTGGCCGGTGTGGGGTAGAGAGCAGGCGGCTGCTGTCTCCCGCCGCGCTGGAGGCTCTCCGGCTTCCCCGGCTGCCTCTCCTCTGCCCCTTTGGCTCACGCGCTCGCTAATTGTTTTCCCGGGTGAGGCGGAGTGACAGGGTGACGGTGGCTGTGCAGCCCCGGGGCTGGGGCGCCGAGGAGAGGGGAAGGGATGGGGGGACCCATCCCCTTGGGGCGGATGGGGATCGCGAGTTGGGTTGACACGTTTGCGATTTCCCCGGCTAATCAGCCGGCTTGTGTTTGCTGCGGGAGCCGCCGTTGTGCTGCCGGCAAGGGGGCGAAATGCAGGCTCGAGGGGCTAAAGTGTGAGAGAGAACAGACCCGGGGGGCCCTGGACGCGCAGGCTGCACTTTTCCTGCCGAGGTGCTCGAGCAGCCGAGCTGATGAGTGCAGCGGCTGCTGCCTTCTTGCGAGACAGGAAATCCGAGAGGCCTGCTCGAGGTTTGACATGTCCCAGGTTGGGCGGGCGGGCGGGGGCCGCTCAGGCGCCAGGCGTTGCTTTCGCTGCCCCACGTTGCAGCCCCGGAGCGGAGAGCCGAGCAGCCCCGCCAGGCTGTTCCCAGGGTCGGTTCTGCAGCCCGTTGCGCGCTCTCCCTCCGCAGCCTGCCTCGTTAACCCTCCGAGCAGCTCGCGCTGCAGGGGCGGCTCGCGTGGATTTTGGGAAGAGGCTGCGTCTGGTTTGCGAGTCCTAGTGCATCCAGCCAGGCGCACGCTGTCCGGGAAGGAGACCGGCGCACGGCTGCCGTGGGGTGGGCTCAGTACCTGGGGCTAGCGAGGAGCGCGGCAGCTGGTGGAAGGCGAGACTTAATCATGCTGCTCAGTTTGTAGGTGTTAGGAAGAGCCTCCCCCGGGTGGGGGTTGCTCGGAGGCTCCCCTGCTGTGCCCGTAGAGCCCGGGGGTGAATTGTCCTATTATGCTGAGCGTGGAGCTGAAGAGAGGCGGGGGCGACAGCAGTGCCAGGCTCTGGCTGGCTTAGAGGCGCACACATGGGCCAAGCCTGCTCGCTCCTGAACAGGGCCAGACTCTGTTGCATCCATCCAATCTGTTTAGCGCTCTGTGTGTGTGTGTGTCACACATACACGTTTGTAGATTGGGGAGGAATACGTGAAAGAAGGCAACAAAGGAGAACCTGTGCCATGGTGTTTTATAGACTCTCGGTGTGTGCGCACAAACTCTTGCATGTGTGGTTGGGCTAGGATCAGCGGTTTTAACTAGGCTTGGGGAAGTGGCTAAGTGTACTTTAAAAGCTAGTTTTTAAGTTTTCTCTCATATATTGCCACCCCATTTTGTGTACAGTGAAGGCAAAGAGCAGATAGGATGGTGTCAACATTAGCGCTCCTTTTGAGGTGTCTGTATCCTGTCAATTACAGTGAGCAGATATAGTTGCTTACATGTGCAGGCATAACCCAGATTTCTGTATCTATAGTGATATTTGGTAATTTGTTTGAAAATCAACAAATCACTACTGCTACTTGATACTTATGTAAGTATATGCTACATATACTTATGTATATGAAAATATACACAATTACTGTAATGCACAAAGATACACAAGATTAAGCACCAGCTTTTTGCTGTTGAACTTCAGTTAGTCCTGCAGTCCAAAATGAAGTGCATGAAGTCGTGGGAACAGATTCAGTTGCTTTGATCTGAGCTCAGTTGCTGGTTGACAGTAGGCCAACATCCCAGAACACCTCACTTCATTGGTGCATTTTAGAAGACTATGTAGGATTAGATCATTGCTGTTAATGTACAGAGAGTGTTCATCTCCATTTCTGTATTCAGTGGTAAAGGGTTGCACTCCCCAATCTGCAATATAATTTTAATATGGTGCTGTAATTGAGATTTTTTTTTTAAAAGAATGGATAAGCAGAGCTGCATCTTGGGTGTAATGTCCATCCCTGCAATGTAACAAATGAATCTGGACAAAAATATGTAACAAGAAATTAAGCACACACTTTTTTTTTTTTTTAATTAGATGGCTGTAATCAAATCCCATGCTTCAGGGCTTCAGCCAGCCATCTGCAGGGGCCAGGGAGAGTTTCCATCCCTGTCCCCCATGTAGAATTGATGTATTCCTCTGAAGCATTAGAGATTGGCCAGGGAGGAAGCCGGGACACCCAGTGGGGTGGATTCATGCTCTGAGGAGATACACCATAGATAATAGAATATCAGGGTTGGAAGGGACCTCAGGAGGTCATCTAGTCCAACCCCCTGCTCAAAGCAGGACCAATCCCCAGACAGATTTTTTCTCCAGATCCCTAAATGGCCCCCTCAAGGACTGAACTCACAACCCTGGGTTTAGCAGGCCAATGCTCAAACCAGCCAGGCATCAATAAGAGGATTCTCTGTATCTTGCTCACATGCTCAGGGTCTTACTGATTTCCCATCCCCAAATCTGGCAGGAATTTTTCTCCAGGTCAGGTTGGCGAGACATTGAGAGGTTTGGGTTTTTTGGCCTTCCTCTGCAATATGGGGTGTGGCTCGCCTGCTGGGCTCATCTGGGAATAGCTCGGAAACCTTTTTTTTCTGTTCTTATTCAGTTTTTCAGTATAGTTTATTCTTTGCCATGTCTCTATTATGATAAAAAGTTAACTGCCACAGGACACTACTATCAGTCTTGCTTAGACCCCAGTGTTTTACTCAGCCACTTGTCAAAAAAGGTATGTGTCGTTCATATCTGAGACCAAGCTGTGGTGAATAAGGATAAGCTCTTTCTCTGATGTAAAATATTTGGCCTTCCCTTTTTGTGCATGCCCACGCAGGAGGTTAAAAGAAGTGATAAGGCAACATGATGTAACTTTCCTTTGAGCCATAGATTGTGATCTACAAGCCAGTCTGAAATTAAGGGAAACTGGTTTTTCTGATGAGTTTTCTGCCCATCCATGATGGTTTGTTCATACATTTGTTTGTACCTGTGCGCGCTCTCTCATATCTCATTTTGGTCATTCATATTACTAATAGTTCCTTTCTGAACTCACAGTAACTCATTCAGACTTCTCTTTCCCCTGGCCAAAAAGAAGATTGGAGATATTTTGCAGTTCTGGCAATATCTTTACTTTTAATTTTATGAGTACGACTTAAAAAACAGAAACAAACTATATAGGGAAGCACAGGTATTGACAGAGATTGAAGGTGAATTTTTTTATGTATTTGTCACAGATTCAAGATGAAAATGTGAGTTTTAAAAATTAACTTGACAATTTAAAGATTTTCTACATATATGAAAGAATAGGTAAGCTCCATCATTCAGAAGATGGCTTTGCACTTAGTGAAAATGTAGATATGGTAGAACCTCAGAGTTACGAACATCTCGGGAATGGACGTTGTTCGTAACTCTGAAATGTTCATAACTGAACAAAATGCTATGGTGGTTCTTTCAAAAGTTTGACTGAACATTGACTTCATACAGCTTTGAAACTTTACTATGCAGAAGAAAAATGCTGCTTTTAACCATCTTAATTTAAATGAAACAAGCACAGAAACAGTTTCCTTACCTTGTCAAATCTTATTTTTAAACTTCCCTTTATTTTTTTAGTAGTTTACATTTAACACAGTACTGTACTAGATTTTCTTTTTTCTTTTTTTTGGTCTCTGCTGCTGCCTGATTGTGTACTTCCGGTTCCAAACGAGGTGTGTGGTTGACTGGTCAGTTCGTAACTCTGATGTTTGTAACTCTGAAGTTCTACTGTATTTATAAATGAATACATAAAATCCTAGGCTGTGAATCTTGTCTGTCAATTATTAAAAACAAACCTGAGTCTGACACTATGTTTTTTGAATCTTTTCTGTGTTTTGAAAATCTGTGTATGATAGACGCCATCTTACATCCCTCTCGAATCTGTCCCATGCTGGGCTCCGTATTGCATGTATATGCTCCATTAAAGAGCATATACCTCCCCAACACTTTCCCCCCCCCCCCCCCCCCGCCCCGCACACATTAAAAGAATGTTAAGGTCATAAAGTGAAGTGCTGAAAAGTTAGGAAATGACACAATTAAGGTTCTTCAAGTGATAGTACATGTCCATTCCACTTTTAGGTATGTGCTCACTCAGTTCACTGAAGCTATGGAAAAAAAATCTCCGTCAGCACCCCTCAGGGTGGTGCATGCACTCTCCACATGCTCATGCTGATAGCCAATGATATGAAGAGGTGGGGCTGCCCTCAACCCTCCCTCAGTTCCTTCTCCCCACCTGTGGTAGGTAGACAGAGCCTGTATGCCTCATCATTCTCTAAAAAAAAGTAAATAATTAGATTAGTAGTTAGTGTTAGTTTACATGTATTGTTTTTATATTTGTTTATTTTTGCATATTTGGATTTAATAGTGTCATCGACACCAAGTAGTGGGGCATGCCCAAGTTCCGAAGGTTTAAGTATTGTCTGGCTGTAATAAGCCAGCCAGGGCACTGGGTCAAGGGCTGGACCATGCGGCTTGGAGGGTCAGGGCTACACCACACGGCTCCCAGAAGCCGCGGCATGGCCCTGCTCTGGCTCCTAGGCGCTCTAATGCCCCCCTCCGGCGCTCCAATGGGAGCTGCCTGCGGATGGGGCAGTGTGCAGAGCCGCCTGGCCGCGCCTCCACGTAGGAGCCAGAGAAGGGACATGCCTGCGCCCCCTGAGCCTCTCCGCAGGCCCCAACCCCCTGCCCCAGCCCTGATCCCCCTCACTCTCCAAACCCCTCGATCCCAGCCCGGATCACCCTCCTGAACCCTAAACCTCTCATCCCCAGCCCCACCCTAGAACCTGCACCCTTTCCGCACCCCTGCCCCAGCCCTGATCTCTCTCCCACCCTCCGAACCCCTCGGTCCCAGCCCAGAGCACCCTGCTAAACCCCAAACTCCCCAGCCCCACCCCAGAACCTGCATCCCCAACTAGAG